TACGGGCGATTAACGGCGGCAGGAGGGCAATAAGAATGGTGGCAGCAATTGCGTTGCAGACGGTCTTAACGGCAGCAGGGCAAGGAGATCAGTGGCGCAAGCCTTACGGGCAATTAAAGGCAGTGGGCGATAAGATAGTGGCGGCAATCGCCTTGAACGATTAGCGGCAGGGGGCAATAAGAATGAGTGGCAGCAATCGTGTTACAGGCGTTAACGGCGGCAGGAGGGCAAAGGAGAATGAAGTAGCAGCAACGCTTTACGGGTAACAACGGCAGGGGGTCGATAAGAATGAGTGGCGGTCACCTACGGGCGATTAAAGGCGGCGGAGGGGCAATAAGAATGAGGGTGGCAATGCCTGCGCGATTAACGGCGGCAGGGGGGTAAAAGAATGGGTGGCGGCAATCGCTCACGGGCAATTAACGGCGGCAGAAGGGCCGGGCGAGTGTGCAAACGCTTTACGGGCGATTAACGGCGGCAGGGGCAATGGGAAATGAGTGGGGCAATCGCCTTACGGGCGATTAACGGCGGCGATGGGCAATAAGAATGAGTGGGGGGCAACGCCTTACGGGCGACAGGCAGGGGGGTCGATAAGAATGAGTGGGCAACGCTTCACGGGCAAGTAACGGCGGCAGGGGGACAATAAGATTGAGTGGCGGCAACGCCTTTGGCGGGCGATTAACAGCGGCAGAGGGCGATCAGAATGAGTGGCGGCAATCTCTTACGGCGATTAACGGCGGCAGGAGGGCAATAAGAATGAGTGGCAGTACTGCGTTACGGCATTAACGGCGGCAGCAGGGCAAAGGAGAATCAGGGCAACGCTTTACGGGGTAATAAAGGCGGCAGGGGCGATAAGAATGAGTGGCGGCATCGCCTTACGGGCGATAACGGCGGTAGGGGGCAATAAGAATGAGTGGCAGCAATCGTGGTTGCGGCGATTAACGGCGCAGGAGGGCAAAGGAGAATGAGGGCCGCAATGCCTTACGGGCACAAACGGCGGTAGGGGGCAATAAGAATGAGTGGGGGACAATGTTTACGGCGAGATAAAGGCGTGAAAGGGGCATTAGGAAAGAGTGGGAACCATCGAATTAAGGGCGACTAACGTGCAGAGGGCAAAGGAGAATGAGGGCAGCATTCCAAGGCTAACGCAAGTGTGGGGTCGATAGAATGAGTGGTGGCAATCGCTTCTTACAAGCGATTAACGGTAGAGACGATAAAGAGTGCAAGAAGTGTTACGGGGCGATAAATGGCGACAGGAAGGCAATAAGAATGGTGGCAGCTATTGCTACGGCATTAACGGCGGTAGGGGGTCGATAGAATGAGTAGGTAACGCCTTACAAGCGATAAAGGCGGCAGGAGGCGATAGAAAGAGTGGCAGCAATAGCGTTACAGGCGATTAACGGCGGCAGGGGGCAATAAGAATGAGGAGGATATCGCCTTACGGGACAATCTGGGTGGCAGGGGAGGCGATAAGAAAGAGTGGCAGCAATCGCGGGCGGGCAATTAACGGCGATAGGAAGGCAATAAGAAAGAGTGGCAATAGCGTTACTGGCGATAAAGCGCGGAGGGGGGGGCGATAAGAATGAGTGGCGGCAACGCCTTACGGGCAATTAACGGCGGCAGGGGGGGATAGGAATGAGTCAGGCACCGCCTTACGGGTGATTAACGCCGGCAGGGGGCGATAAATGAGTGGCGGCAACGCCTTACGGCGATAAACGGCGGCAGGGGGGTCGATAGGAATGAGGGTGGCAACGCTCTACAAGCGATTAAAGGCGGCAGGAGGCGATAAGAAAGAGTGGCAGCAATAAAGCGTTACTGACGATAAAGGCGGAGGGGGGGGGCCATAAGAATGAGTGGCGGCAATCGCCTTTGGGCAATTAACGGCGGCAGGGGGCGATAGGAATGAGTCGCGGTATCGCCTTACGGGTGATTAACGCCGGCAGGGGGCGATAATGAGTGGCGGCAATCGCTTCACGGGCGATAAACGGGCAGGAAGGCGATAAGAACGAGTGGCGGCGACGTCTTATGGGCGATTAACGGCTGCAGGGGGGGCGATAGGAAAGAGGTAGCAATCGCGTTACAGGCGACTAACGGCGGTAGGAGGCGATAAGAATAGGCGGCAACGCCTTATGGGGAGATTAACGGCGCACGGGACAATAAAATGAGGCGGCAATCGCCTTTACGGGCGATGTATGCGGGCAGGGGGCGATAAGAAAGATTGGTAGCAATCGCGTTGTGGGGCGATAAACGGCAGCAGGGGGTCGATAAGAAAGAGTGGCGGCATTTCCGCCTGTTGGCGGCAGCGGTAAGAGGGCTAAGAATGAGTGGGCAATCGCTCACGGGCGATTAACGGCGGCGGGGGCCATAAGAAAGATTGCAGAAATCGCCTTACGGACGATTAACGGGCAGGGGGGCGATAGGAATGAGTGGCGGCAATCGCCTCACTGGCTATTAACGGCGGGCGAGGGGCAATAAGAATGAGTGGCGGCACCCTGTACAGGCGATTAACAGCGGCAGGGGTGGCAAAAGAAAGAGTGCAATAGCGTTGTGGGCGATTAACCGGGCAAGAGGGCAAAGAAGAATGAGTGGCAGCAATCGCCTTACCGGCGATTAACGGCGGTAGGGGGTCGATAAGAATAGTGGCAATCGCCTTACAAGCGATTAACGGCGGCAGGGAGCCGATAAGAAAGAGTGGCAGCAATAGCGTTGTGGGCGATAAACGGCGGCAGGGGGGGCGATAAGAATGAGTGGCGGCAATCGCCTTATGGGCGATTAGCGGCGGCAGGGGGGGCAATGCCTTACGGGCGATTAACGCCGGCAGGAGGCGATAAGAATGAGTAGCGGCACGCCTTACGGGCAATTAACGCGGCAGGGGGCGATAAGAATGAGTGGGAATCGCCGGCTATTAACGGCGAAGGGAGGGGTTCAATAAGAATGAGTGGCGGCAATCGCTGTACAGGCGATTAACAGCGGCAGAGTGCCGATAAGAAAGAGTGGCAGCAATAGCGTTGTGGGTGATTAACGGCGGCAAGAGGGCAAAGAAGAATGAGTGGCAGCAATCGCCTTACCGGCGATTAACGGCGGCAGGGGGGCAATCGCCTTTACGGGCGATTAACGCCGGCAGGAGGGCGATAAGAATGAGTAGCGGCAATCGCCTTACGGGCAATTAACAGTGGCATGGGGGCGATAAGAATGAGTGGCGGCAACGCATTACGGGTGATTAACGCGGCAGGGTGGCGATAAGAAAGAGCGAAGCAATAGCGTTCTGGGCGGATAAACGGCTGCAGGGGGGCGATAAGAATGAGTGGCAGCAATCGCCTTACGGGCGATTAAAGGCGCAGGGGGGTGGTCCAAGAATGAGTGGCGGCAACGCCTTACGGGCGATTAACTTCAGGGGGGGGGCAATAAGAATGAGTGGCAACGCCTTACAGGAATTAACGGCGGCAGGGGGAGGTGAATGAGTGGCGGCAATCGCCTACGGTGGCTAACGGCGGCGGGGGGCGATAAGAATGAGTGGGGCAACGCTTACGCGATTAACGGCGCGGGGAAAAAAGAATGAGTGGCGGCAATCGCCTACTGGTGATTGCGGCGCAGGGGGCGATAAAAAGAGTGGCAGCAATCGCGTTACGGGCGATAAACGGCGGCAGGAAGGCGGATAGAATGATTGGCGCCAACGCCTTGGGCGGGCGATTAACGGCGGCAGGGGGGGCGATAAGAAAGAGTGGCAGCAATCCCGTTACGGGCGACTACCGGGGGCAGGAGGGCGATAAGAATGACTGGCGGCACGCCTTACGGGCGTTCAGTACACATGCACCCAAGAGTACTTCTGTACACATGCACTAAGAGCATCTTGTACACGTGCACTAAGAGCATGCCGTACACGTGTATCCAAGAGCACTTCAGTCACATGCACCCAAGAGCACTTCTACATGTGCAGCTGAGACATTCACACGTGCACCTAAGAGCACTTGGTACACATGCATCTAAGAGTATCTTGGTACACATGTACCAAGAGCACTTCGGTCACATGCACCAATGCACTTGGTACATGTAACCAAGAGCACTTGCACACATGCACCAAATGCACGGGTGCACCCAAGAGCACTTCTCATGCACCCATGAGCACTCCGGTACACATGCACTCAAGAGCACTTGGTACACGTGCACCAAGAGCACTTCAGTACACGTGCACCAAGGCCTTTGGTACACGTGCGCCAGAGCACTTTAATTACACCTGTCTAAGAGCTTGGGTACATACCAAGATCACTTCGATTATAGTTATAAAACACTTCCGTGCACCTGCACCAAGAGCACTTCAGTACACATGCCTGCAAGACTCCGGTACCGTGCCAATGCACTCCTGGTACACATGCACCAAGAGCACTTCCTTTACACATACACCAAACAATTCGGTACACCTGCCCAAGAGCACTTCGTGCCGTTGTTTTACGATGTGAAACCTTCGGTGCGTTCACCAAAAGAGCACTTTGGTGCTCGTGACCCGACGCTTCGGTACACATACGCAAGAGCACTTCGGTACATGTGTGCCCAAAATTTTCGGTACATGCTTAAGGTATTTCGGTACACATGCCCAAGTGCGCTTTGGACATGCCAACAGCGCTTTGGTACGTGCACCCGCGGGCGCATAGCTATCGTTCTAAATGCTTATTTTATGCAAGTACTTCGGTGCACATGCACCCTGGGCACTTCGGTACACATGCCAAGAGCATGACACCTGCAGAGCACTTTGGTACATGCGCAAGAGTATTTCGGTACACATGCACCAGTGCACTTCGGGTTTATGCATAACAGCACTTTGGTACTGCGTTACACCCCATGGCACCTCGGTATGCGTGCAAATGCACTCTGGTACTATACCCAAAAGTACTTCGGTACGCATGCGTCAAAGGCAATTCGGTACGTGCACCAAGAGCACTTCGGTTTTATGCACCCAAACACTTCGGTACGTGCAGAGCACTGTTGCTATTGGGTGCATGTTTGCTTCAGAGTTGGATTTGTGTGCAATAAAATGTCTTGTGCATGTGCATGGGTGCACGTGTGCAAGTGCAGGTGTGCTCTTGGGTGCATGTGTGCAGAGTGCTCTTGGGTGCATGCGAGTGCGTGGTTATGTCACTTGCAGAAGTGATCTTGGGTGCATGTGTGCGAAATTGCTCTTGGGTGCATATGTGCCAGAAGTGCTCTTGGGTGCATGTGTGCAAGTGCTCTTGGGTGCGTGTGCCAGTGCTCTTGGTGCATGTGTACCGAAGTGTGGGTGCACGTGTACCAGAGTGCTCTTGGGTGCATGTGTGCCAGGGGTGCTTGGAGTGCATGTGTGCCAAAGTGCTCTTGGGTGCACGTGTGCCAGGGAGTGCTTTGGGTGCATGTGTGCCAGGGTGCTCAGGTGCAGGTGTGAGGTGCATGTGTACCAGAAGTGCTCTTGGGTGCATGTGCCGAGTGCTCTTGGGTGCATGTGCCAGAGTGCTTGGGTGCACGTGTGCCAGAGGTGCTCTTGGGTGCATGTGTGCAGAAGTGCTCTGGGTGCATGTGTGCCAGAAGTGCTCTTGGGTGCATGTGTGCCAAGTGCTCTTGGGTGCATGTGTACCAGAGTGCTCTTGGGTGCACCGTGTGCCAGTTTGGGGGGTGTACAAGTGCTCTTGGGTGCATGTGTGAAGTGCTCTGGTGCATGTGAACCAGTGCTCTTGGAGTGCATGTGTGCAAGTCTCTTGGTGCATGTGCCAGTGCTTCTTTGCATGTGTGCCAGAAGGTGCATTGGGTGCAGTGTGCAGAAATGCTCTTGGGTGCATGTGTACCAAAGTGCTTGGTGCTGTATACAGAGTGCTTTGGGTGCGTGTGCCAGTGCTCTTGGGTGCATGTGTGCGAAGTGCTCTTGGGTGCAGTGTGCCAGAGTGCTCTTGGGTGCATGTGTGCCAAGTGCTCTTGGGTGCATGTGTGCAGAGTGCTCTTGGGTGCATGTGTGCCAGAGTGCTTTGGGTGCACGTGTGCCAAGTGCTCTTGGTGCATGTGTACCAAGAAGTGCTCTTGGGTGCATGTGTACCAGAATGTCTTGGGTGCATGTGTACCGAAGTGCTCTTGGGTGCATGTGTGCAGTGCTCTTGGTGCATGTGTCCAGGGCTCTTGGGTGCATGTGCAGTGCTCTTGGGTGCATGTGTACCAGAAATGTTCTTGGTGCATGTGTGCTGAATTCTTCTTGGGTGCAAGTGGACTGAAATGCTCTTGGGTGCACGTGTGCCGAAGTGCTCTTGGGTGCACGTGTGCCAGAAGTGCTCTTGGGTGCACGTGTACCGAAGGTGCTCTTGGGTGCATGTGTGCAGGGGTGCTTGGGTGCACATGTGCTGAAGGTGCTCTTGGGTGCATGTGTACTGAAGCACTCTTGGGTGCACATGTGTTGGAGTGCTCTTTGTGCACGTGTGCCAGAGTGCTCTTGGGTGCATGTGTACCAGGTGCTCTTGGGTGCCTGTGTGCAAAGTGCTCTCAGGTGCATGTGTACCAAGTGCATTGGTGTGTGCCGAGGTGCTCTTGGGTGCGCAGTACCGAAGTGCTCTTCGTGCATGTTGCTCGGAATGCTCTTGGTGCATGTGTGCAGAAAGTGCTCTTGGGTGCGTGTGCAGAAGTGCTCCTGGGTGCATGTGTGCAAGTGCTCTTGGGTGCATGTGTACCAGAGTGCTCTTGGTGCATGTGTACCGAGTACTCTTGGGTGCACGTGTGCCGAAGTGCTCTTGAGTGCATGTGTACCAGAAGTGCTCTTGAGTGCACGTGTGAACACTCACGATGAATTGGACAATAAGTCTCAGGTTGTGAAATGGTTCCTTTCAGATTATGATGGCGACCCAAATTCTGCAGAACCTGAGAGCCGTTGTGAGCCACCTAGAATGTGAGACTGGACCTATCTGCAGGTAAGCAAGTCTATCAGGAATGACCCCAGTTTTGATGGCACTGCAAATCATGTAACCAAGTACTGGTCAGTACTCATGTCGTCAATGAAAGATGTGCCAAGCTCAACGAGTGGGAGGGCCAACTGTGATTTTTAAGCTCGGTTTATTTCTAACTCAGTGGCAGAGTCCATCACCAAGAGGACCAGACCATCTGTTGTTTGATAGAAGTCTTGCCATTCAGCTCCTGGATCAGATGTCTGAGTGGCAACTCGTTGGAATAATGGAGGTCACAAACAATCCAGACCAGCTTCCTCCCAATCTTCGCTCTATCCACTGTATGACCCCCCTTGCCACCCTGTGTTCGTGTTGGTGCTGTCCTCCAATGGCCTGCAGGGTCTGGTCTACGTTCCTCTCTCTGAGCCAGTTCACAATGTTATCTGCCACTATCTCAGCTGGTTTCCTGAGTCTCTTTCTCTGGAGTGAAATGCCACAAATTCTGCCCTCCTGGTTCACTGCAGCAGGAGTAGTGTTCCTCCTTCACCCCATGGCAGGGAACAACTTGTCAGAATCTCCAACTTTCATGAACACTTTAGTGTCATCCTTCTCCCATCAAAGAACAAACAATTGATTCCATTTTCTCTTATCCCCTATCAAACTCCTCTTCTGGGTTACTGACAAGTTTCTCCTGAGCTCTCCTTACTTTGTTATGATCTATCACCAGGTGAACATCATCAGGTGTTATCAAACCACCGTCCCCAGGCAGCTGTTGCTATCTCTGCAGTTTCTCTGAGACCAGTGTGGTGTCGCATGCTGGCCAGAGCTATGCTCAGGGATATCTTTTCTATTTCGAATCTTATGCCTGGAAGGTTTGGGATCATTATTTTCTGGGTTAGGGACAAAGTCACCATTTTCTGGTCAGCACTCGGATCCAGCCATGGGGAAGTCATTAAACTCTGAATCAGCTTGACTCCAATCATCGGCCTTTTTACCTCACCCTGGGCCTTCTCAAGTCTCTTTTCCTCGGCAACTCTTCTCCTCTTCTGTCTCTCTGTGGCAGCCTCCTGTCTCTTGGACTCCGGAATATCTTGGCTAGAAATCATGGAAGCCCCTCTGCCAGTCTTCTCTCTCTCTGTGCTTTGACAAATGCCAGTTCGATCAAGGAATCTTCAGTTCACGCTTGCAAATACAGGAGATGTGGGCCTCGGTTTACAGTCACGATCGCATCAAACTCAGGACAAAGAACAATTGGGCACTTGCAAGTAATTATGTCAAATACTGGTCAGTTGTAGCCTTGGCTGTCCTTAAATGCAAGTTTCCTCTCCCAAAGAGAGATATCTCTTGCCTTTTCCCCAACTGGCTAGCAGTCTCTACTAATCTTCTTCTGACTTGTTATGACTGGAGGCTTGAACTGAGCGTTAGCAGAGTGTACTGTGCCAAGACAGCTTTGGTCATATCACTGGCAATGTCTTTGTTTGTGTAAGTTCTTTGGTTCTTTTCACTGATTTGCCTGGTTAAAACACCGTATCTCAAAGCATCTCTAATGTAGGCAACCGACTTCAGGAGCTCTCCCAGACCCAAGCAAGATAGTGACTGAGATGGCTGGATTTTTGGTTCCTCTCGTCACAACTGGCTTCATCATCGCAAATATTATCAACTTATAAATGCATAGAATCTGAAACAGAAAAAATATTGTTAGTTACTAAAATCTACCAAAAAGTGATGGGCCATTAGTTTTAGCTGATCTTCCTCCTATGACACACTAATTATATATATATATATATATATATATATATATATATATATATATATATATATATATATATATATATATATATTTATTTATTTATTTATATATATATATATATATATATATATATTATATAAACATATATATATATATATATATCATGTAAATCCACAATGAAAACGTGGATAAGATAAATCTTGATAAAATCACACGGGAAAATGGAAACAACAGAGTACCTTAGCTTTCGTCTTTATTCAAGACATCTTCAGAGGCAACTGGATTACATGGACAGAGAGAGGCTTAAATATATAGGGTGACCTAAAACATGAGGTCAGGTCATAATGATGACATCCACTAATCCCCACACCAACACACACGTTGAGGAGCTTAAGAGAAGGTGGTGACGTACTAGCCAGGTCAGGTCAGAAAAAGGGACCCACAAAATAACTATCATACATCTAGATCAAAGGTTTTCAAAGCATTTTTAACCTTGGGCCACTGACAAAGAAATTTATGTAACATATTACCAGTTTTGAACTGACCATCACTAAGGTTTATTGATTTTAATTCCTTAATCAAACTAGCTTCAACCAGAAGTCTTTCTGTGACACAAGATGATTTGAATACTTCTAAGCTTTTTTCCCAAGCAATGGGGTGATTATTATTCCTAACATGAACGAACAAGGCACATATATATGAATATATATAAAATATATATATATATATATATATATATATATATATATATATATATATATATATATATATATATATATATATATATATATATATATATATATATATATATATGTATATTATATATATGTATATATATATAAATATGTATATATATATATAAATATGTATATATAGCTATATATGTATATATATATATTATATATATGTATATATATATATATATATATATATATATATATATATATATATATATATATATATATATATATATATGTATATATCTTGATAAAATCACATCGGAAAAGGAAAACGGAACACCTTAGCTTTCGTCTTTATTCACATCTTCAGAGGCAACAGAGGCAACATATATATATATATATACTGTGTATATATATATATATATATATATATATATATATATATATATATATATATATATATATATATATATAATTTCATGTAGATCCACAATGAAACGTGGATAAGATAAATCTTGGTAAAATCACAGGAAAAGAAACAACGAGCACCTTAGCTTTCTGTCTTATTCAAGATATTCAGTTGCTCTAAGATGTCTTGAATAAAGACAAATAAGGCATTCCGTTTTCTCCCATGATTTTATAAATATATATATATATATATATATATATATATATATATATATATATATATATATATGCTGATAACCACAAGAAAGAAGAAAACACGAAGTTCCCAAGCGCTTGTGTAATTCACATCTTCAGGGTGTTTTTCTTTCCTTGTATTACTTCAGCATATACCTAGATCACCGCACCTACAGTGATTTACTTGCATATATATATTTATATATATATATACATATATATATATATACATATATATAATATATATACATATATAGGCTATATATACAATATATATATACATATTTGTATATATATACATATATATATACATATACATATATATATATATATATATATATATATATATATATATATATATATATATATATGTATATATATATATATTATATATATATATATATATTTATTTGTATATATATATATATATATATATATATATATATGTACATATAATTATATATATATATATATATATATATATATATATATATATATATATATATATATATATACATATATATATTTTTTTTTTCATATAATATGCTTCCATGTTGTTCCAAATTATTCCTGTAATGATGTGCTATATTTACTATTATATAATCTAGTCACGCGGTGCTGTTAAGGTTTTAACTGTTAATATTTGTTAATGAATATGATGTATTTCTTTGTGTATGAACCTCTGTCCTGCGTGGCAGTGTGAAGTGATACTACCCTCAGTGTCAAGACCTGACTGAATTACTCAGTATAGGCAAACTGTACTCCAAGCTTTATCAATAAATTTGTTAAACTAAAATGATTTACTCACAATGCTTATAACAAACTCTAATACTGTTAATAGCAATATTTATGTTTTCCATACTCAGCCAGGGACAATTAAATTTCTGCTAATTATCCACAATCATGTACAAGTTTCATGATCGTAATGATGGCTAACCTGATAAAACCTCATAATTCATATTACGCTTCACGCCCACAAAACATGTAAACCATCTGAGTCACCCAGTGGAAACATCCTCCGTTTTCTCTGTATCATTGAAGTTGTCATAGAGATGCCGTATTTGTGACCGAGACTTGTAAGCTCTTTTCACCTATGAATATCAGAGACACTGATACTCATAGTGAAATTGTTGATAGGATGTTAATTATGGAATTAGTTAATTAACCTGAAGGGAACCATAAGACCAGCTTTCTTTTACAGAGGGAGTCAAACGCTTGTAGTGGACGTCTCCCCTACAACTGCGTATCGTATCGGCATTCCAATGCGACAGTATCCTAGCAACCAAACGAGCGGCCCAGGGGCGTCACCAGCTGCTACGGTATCCTAGCAACACGGGGGGGGAAAAACCGGCGAGTTCCACAGGTTTACTTCCGGCTGCGGTGTATATAAGCTCTGTCTCTCCATTAAGATGACAGGACACAACCTGATCTCACTGGTTACTGACCCTGGTGGACTGGCTGTGTGGAGTGGAGTGCAATGGATTATGGAGTCAGTTTATGCGGTCAGAGGAACCCACCTCCACCAACCCTCATGGGACTGTCTCTATGGATGGTAAGGTCACGGTTGCAATGGTGGCGTAAGCCATCAGGTCAGATTAACCAGTCAACAGGTAATGTGTCCGAGGTCACTGGGTGTA